ATTTGGTCTAGATTTTGAAAGCAGTTGCATATGCAATATACTAGTCTTGTTGATGCATTTTCTAGTAGAAACTGGTTAATTTTGACATACGATATCTCTCTCATCTGTAATCTATTTAAAGCAATAATTGGATCATTGTGTTCATCTCTAAGTCTTCTTTCATATCTCAAAGCTTCATGTTCAAAGGATCTACCATCTGAATGCGATTGAAGAATTACATAAATATATTGGAATTGTGATGCAGAAGCTTAACTGACTCTCTACAAGAGCCACATATTCCCAATTTTTGTTGGCGCGATGTCTCTGTTGAATCTGGAATCTGTAAGTTCGAATTCGAATGTTATGAAGATGAGCATTGGCTAAAATATGTGATTATCATCAAAGGACACATGTACGAGCATATTAATCCATTTAAATCATATGGTTATCAAGTTAAGTGGAGTGATTGTCATCATAGCGACTAGCACGTAAAGATGAAGACGTGTATCAACATGAAGAAGATGATGACAACTTCATTATTATTAAAGGAAGATTTTATAATTATCAGTTAGCAAGCCTATATAAACCCCATCTCTTGATCCGATAAGGGTTTGATTCCTTTGGATTGGTAGGATTGAATCACTGAATTTAGGGTGAGAGATAGAGAGTGACTGTATATGCAATGCGTGAAGAAACAGTCTCATATATGATTGTCTTCCGAAACATATCTGTTGATAGAGAGAAGTTTATCTTATTTTTTTACTTTGATCCACTTGAAGCCCTATCTCGAAGAAGGAGAAGACCGCATGAACAATACCCATTTGTTTAAGTTCATGTATATGGGCTCATACGTCCTTGGTATTGTATTTCATTTCAATGTATATATATTTTTTCTTTCAGATAGTGGAATGTATAAGTTTCAAGGCTCGAATCAAGGGTATTTGGCCTAGTTTAGACTTATATAAATTATAATAGTGATTAAACCTCTTGAACTGGTCCATTCCCAATAATAGATATATAAAACATGTGTCTCTATGATATGGAATACAAGGGAGAATTTGGCTCTAAGTGTGTTGCTCTCTAGTTATGCAATTGGAGTCTAATGTTCATTTGAAACATTTTAATCAATTTAAGCTCACATTTTTGTATTGTCCACAAAAAGAGGGAAGGGTATTGAACATGTGAACTACATGCATGGATTCCAAGTGGCCGGATCTCGATCGCCTCCATCTCCCTAACAAGTGCCTTAAAAGTATGCATGTGTTCCGATATTTTTGTACCTTTGATCATTTTTAGATTGTTGTACTTCTTCATAGCCATCAATTTTCTTTTGAGAGAAGGATCTGCATACTCCTTCTCGACCTGCTCATGCATGCCTTTAGCAGTTCTTATTGCTCATACTTGGAAATGTACGAGTCATTCATAGAACAAAGCAAGCTATGCCTTGCACACATATTTTTATGATTCCATTCAGCGTATGCATCTCGTGTAGCTTGAGATGCATCGCTTCAAGGATGAGAAGGATGATGTTCAGTAAGTATCTCGTGCAAACCCTTCTCATAAAGTACATAACCAATTTTGCACTTCCATGATGAGTAGTTTGTCCCATTGAACTTTCGGTCTTTAAGATCTCATAGATGAACTGCATGCAACCATTTTTCTTATCCCAAACAAAATAAAAGATTGAAATAAAATAAATAAAACTACCTAATGGCAACAAGAAACCTATACTCTACTACTAATGAAAGTTGGACAAGGTGAACTAGCACAATATATGTGGTTTTTAAATCTTTCTTTTATATTGACTAGAACACTTATAAAGGTCCAATTACAATTAAATAAACTCAAAATAACCAAAAAACAATTACGATAGAGGTTCTCACTTGTTGCCACTAGTAACATTTCTTTTATTCAATAAACAAAAAATCACGTAATACCCATGGGAACAAAAAAAACATAAAACTACAAACTATAAAGAAGATTGCTAAAAGATTATCTCAACTGGACTTTGCACACCCCACTCTGGGTTTCCAGTATATGGGTTACAGGTTCTCCCCTAGAGACAAGTCGAAGGTCACACAAACCTGGTGCAACCACAACTCTATGGTGCATAGGGGTCATCTCTCATACATGTACCCGTATCATCTTTAATGGTGACTCTATTTTCCAATACAGTTATCATATGTACATGTTGTGTGATGGTTCAACAATGTGTATTTGGCCCTCGTCTCTATAGGCCTACCATCACACACAAGTGTCATATAATCCTTTGGCTTACTACCTTGGGCAACTCCGGCCTCATCAAAGGATAACCCTGCTAAACACTCCTCGGTTGTGCTCTATGCCCAATTAATTAAGAATTTTCAACTCCACTGACCTAGTACATTAAGCCTAGCATGAGCATCGATAAATAATATTTTCTTATCTCTATCCAATTGGACCATACCCCCATGGTGCTTTTGGTCCACTATATCAAATTATTGATTGTATACTCTCACAAAGGCCTTTAATGGATATAAATACCCAACATGTCTACCCCTGGGGTTATGATTTGCCCCAACATTAGACTGAAAGAGTGTAGGAAGACCATAGCTATTGTTAGATGGGCTGCCCTCGAGGTAATCCTGGACTAGCGTGATGGCTAAAGTTAGACCCTTGGATCCTAGTTGGTTGGATTGCCAGGATAGCCAGCTGTTGATCCATAGGGTTATCCTAGCTTGAGCCAACATGTTGAGGATGATCCACAACTTGAACATCTGACCTAACCTGCTTAGATGGACTAGGTTGGATGGTATATTCTCGATTTAACAGGTCTTGTAGGAATACATGCACCCTAGGATTGTCTTTAAACTGAGTTAGGTCTAAACGCTGACCTTTATTGGTGCTAAGTTGTATGATAGAACTTCCCTAGTTCTATGCGTTTGTGAACCCACCTGCCCTTTAACTAGTTGATTGCTAAAGTTAGAATGTTAGGGTGGCTGACTCAGAGATCTGGACTGAGGCCTTATCTTTGGTCTGCCTATTGGATTTAAGGCAAATCCCCATGTCTTGGAGAATTGCACTTGTCATAACCCGTTGGTTTATTTAGGGTGTTACGGACCCTACTAACATGTTGTCTCATGGCTTCAATGTCATGACCCTGTGGGTTACCAATTGGGTAGCTTACACTATTAGATATGATTTCATGTGGGTTAAGACTCGGCTCACCCACACGAGCACTACGGATTTGAGAAAGAGCATTATGTCGGTGCCTGTCAAACTAGCTGGGTTCCTTAGACCTATACTGGACTAGAGCCACAACGTTGGGCCTCACCTTGGTTTGATCGTGGGCCATGACTCTCAGACCTATGTTAAACTAAAAAGGTTGGACCTAGCTTAGACATGGACCTAGACTAAGGTTTGGCTTGTACCGAGCTTGGGCTTAAGTGTGTACCAAACCTCAAGCTTAGATTGTACCAAGAGGGGCTTAGACTTGAGCCTGACTTGACCTAGATTGGACACAGGTTAAATTGGAGCCTTGAGCAAGAATGAGCCCTACATGAACCTATAGACGAACTTGAATCTGGACCTGGATGTGAACCTAGATTGAGAGCAAGTTTTTATTGGGTGTGAGACCTGACCTAGACTTGCAAAGACCTTGGTTAATCTGGGTGTGAGCCTGACTTAGATTTGAAAGGGAAGCGGTTTTGGCATCGAGTATGGACCCAAACCTAGACTTGGATTAAATTGGGATGGGCCCTGACTTGAATATAGAGTTGGATCTAAGTTTGAACCAGGGTGTGATCCATGACCTAGACTTGATATGGGGCATAGGTTTGGACTTGGGTGTGGACCCGGTTTGGGACCTGAGTTGCACTGGGCGTGAGCCCTGACTTAAAACTAAGACATGCCAAGGTTCGGACTTGGGTGTGGACCAAGCTCAAACCTGGACTAGACTGGGTGTGGGCCTTAACTCAGACCTAGAAAGACTTGGTTTCAGACGGGGTGTGAACCTGAACCTAGGCTTCGACTCAAGTTGACAAACCCTGATCTAAACAAAACAATGCATGCAAAAAGATTTGAAAAAAATTGACCTAAACTATGGGAAGGCTAGGCTCAATAGGGTTCATAGCTATCAAAAGGTTGAAACTCGGCTGAGCTGAACTGGGTCCCCACGTAGGTCAAGGAGCATCTTGTCCTTAACTCTTTCGAGCAAAAGCCAATATTGGAGTATTTTTAGAATCGCACAATATAATCGCTTCAAAAACCATATGCTATATACCAATTGAATTATATATGGACTTGAAAAAAAAGTAACATCTCTAGATTGAATAGAAACGGTCTAATTTTTAAAGAAAATCTAAATTTTAAAAAACTCAAAATTCAATTTTTTTTATTATAATATAGGTTCAAAAATTTTGAATACAAAAAAAATGCCAAGGTAATCTTCTCCCCAAGGGAATAACTGTACAATATTATGCTCTTGCAGAAGCATAATAATATACACACTCATTTATTTTCAAATGACAAACAAGGAAAATATCATGAACCAACATTTTTAATTTATTTTCAGATGAGAAATGAGAAAAGAAACATGGAGATAGAGGAAGAGAGAACAATTAGACGCAAATCACTATTCTTTTTCCTTGCATTGAGTGGAAAACCACTTTTGCACTCAGAAAAAATTTGTGGAGATAGAAGAAAAGAAAAGAAATTAGAAAATATAAAGTAGAGAGAGAAACGAAAATGTAACGAAGAGAGCAATGGAAAATCTAGAGAGAGAAAGAGGTAGAGAGAGAAAGGAAATGTAATGGAGAGAGAAAAGGAGAATGTAATGGAGAGAGAAAAGGAAAATCTAGAGAGAGAAAAATTGTACTGGATAGAGAGAGAGAAAAGGAAAATCTAGAGACAGAAAAAATGTAATGGATATAGAGAGAGAAAAGGATAATCTAGAGAGATAAAGGGTAGAGGGAGAAAAAAAATGTAATAGAGAGGGAAAATAAAAAATCTAGACCAGGAAAACCGAAAAGGCACCGCCAGGCGTGCCGGTGTAGTAGGCATGCATAACGGGCTTCAAGACACGTTTCACAATCTTAACCCTCCAAGTCCAATCGAACGGTGACGATTCCTCTCACCTCGGCCTTGTACGGAAATGTGTAGCCAAGCCGGAGCCGTTTTTCCCAGAATTTTTTCCTAATTTTTATTTGCGTGGAAAATTCGTTTGCAGTCAAATAAGAACAACGATAAATGATAATCCTTTTTTTTTTTGGTTATAATTTAATCTGCAAACGAGGAAAATTACAGAGAGCGCATGTCTTCTGCAACTTCCGAATCAAAATTATCCAGGTCATCCTTTGTTCCTGCCAACATTATCTAAACCCTAACCCTAGGTTTTGTATAACAGCATATAATTTCACCTTCCGTTTTCCAATTCTTTTCCTCTTTTGCCTGATTTCTAGGGTTCTGAATTCGGCTTCGGTTGCCCCTCTTTTGGGGTCCTTCTGGTTTCTAGGGTTTCACATTTGCTCTATTTGATATGGTACTTGGTTTCTTTTTTATTGAATGAGTTTCAGAGAGTATCTTCCCTGAATTTCTTGGTTTTTAGGGTTGTAGTTTGTCCCGGTTGAGGTGGCGTCTAGTTTTGATCTCCTTCTTAGAGTCTGAGAATAAATTGTCTTTCCATAATTTGTTGGTCTTTAGAGTTATAGTTTGGCCCCGTTTGGTTTGCCCTTGGTTTGGGGTTTCTAGGGTTTCAAATTTGCTATCTCTTTAAAATTTTTGATCTCTCTCTCTCTCTTATGTAAAGAGTTTCAGATTAGAGACTCTTTTCGGTTTTTAGGGTTTGGCTTGGAAAAGTTGCTCTCTGAGCAATTGGGATCTTTGGACAGAATACCATGTTGGTTGTTGCATTACGAGAAAATTAAGTTTTTTAGCCAGAGCTATTATATGGGAGTTTATAGGGAGACGACCTACTTCTCTGCATCTCGTTGATCTTGTTTTATCTGTTAGTTCTGTTTTCCTTTAATTTTGTGAAATACAGTGGTTAATCCTGGTTCAACTCTCTCCTATGAGAGACGTTTCTTAAGGAGTCATTATACGTTAAGAATTTCGATTTTATAAAGCGAACCATTGCCAGAAGTGAGCCATAGTATAGTTTTTGGTTGCTCTCTTGAAGAACTTGAAAGTGGGGCTTTGGAGAATCCCAAATTCCATTATATAGAATTACTTCTATCAGGCAGTAGATTACTCATTCAAAGGGTTCGGTTATCCCACAGCATTATTATTTTTGATATCAGTGCTGTTTGTTCAGTTTTGGGATTTGAGAGGACCAAAATATACAACTTTTATTGGTATTTTCGGAATTTATAAACAACTAATTGAAGTCATGAGGTATTATGGATAGAAGCGATCCGGAATTGGCCCCAGAATGGCTAAGGGGAACCACCCAACATTCTCTCTCATCCTCCCAGAGAGGTATGCTTTCTCCTTTCTTATGTTTTAAATTTTTTTATTGGAGTATAATTTATCCTTCTCTTCTTCCATTATCTTCGAAATTTGAGGTGTCATTCTTGCTTTCCACTATTTGGTTATTATTCTTAGTTTCAAATGGATTGATGTATGATGGCCACATTGTTGCATAATAGGTGATTCAGTACTTGCACCAACAAGCAGAAACAAGTCATCTCTTCTCTCTGATTACAATTTTACGAACCATCTATCTAGAACTTCGTTACCATCTTTTCGGAGAAACTCAAGCATTAATGGAAGCTCAACATATGACAGGGATTCCAAGACAAGTTTGAGGACTCATAGTAGTAATGGTAGGAATAGTCGGGCTTATGACTTTGATCGAAACCAGGACTGGTTAAGAGATAGGTCACCCTTTTCTAGAGAGCGCAGGGATCTCGAACATGAAGATAATTTAACACGTTCTACTGTTAAACCTGTGAATTGGGTTGAAACCAACACTTTGAAGAGACAATTGTCCACCTTGGACGGTGGAAAGAGAGGAGATGACACGCATAAGAACCCAGGGAGTAAATTGGGTGCTTTAAATGGTGGCCCTCTTATTGGTGGAGGCCTTGTTAGCAACATCCGTAAGTCTGCTTTTGAGAGGGAGTTCCCGTCTCTGAAATCTGAGGATAAGCAGCAAGCACAGATAGCAATTGGGGCTGTAGATATGATCAGGGTGGCATCGCCTTTGATCAGGGTGGCATCGCCTGGCTTAAGTGCTACTGCTTTCATGGGCTCTGATGGCTGGACCTCTGCTTTGGCTGAGGTTCCGGTTTCTAATGGAGTTAAAAGTAACTCTTCATCATCGACCCAACAAATAACTTCTGTGACTTCCCCTTCTTCAGTTGTACAAAGCCCTGGAACTGGTCTCAATATGGCAGAGACTGTGGCTCAGGCTCCTGCTAGAGTTCGTACCCCTCCACAGGTATGCAGTTTCTGTTTACCGCTTGTTGAATTTTTCTGCTTTTTTTTTTTTTATGATAAGTAACACACATGTTCTTGTTAAATATTGCTATGTATTGTATGTTCTTGTGTTTTGTGGCCTCTCTGATTTCTGGTTTATCCAGTTGTCAGTTGAAGCTCAAAGACTTGAGGTGCTAGCTATCAAACAATCTCGACAACTGATACCCATGACTCCCTCAATGTCTAAAACCTCGGTACGTTCCTCCACTTTCTACATTTTAACTTTTGAAAAATAAATCATGATATTTTTGTCTCATTTTGTATGTTATATTACTATTCAAACCTTGCTATGGGCATTTCTTGGTGTATGATGTGGGATTGGTATGATACGAATCATGAAAAGAAAAACAAGCCTGAGTTTTTTTGCCCTATTCTACCATATGCATATATAAAGGTTATAGTGCAATACCAATGTTTGTACGTAATAATATGCCTTCTTGTTAATTGTTGTTGCCTTAGGAAGTGGATATTTCTGTAATTGCTGTAAATATTTTATGGGAGGAGGTTAATGCCTGGTTGGGTATTAGAAAATTATATAAGGCATGGGATAAATTATTCTTTGGTAAATTGCTTTGGGGGGCTGAGGTTTTGAAGGTCTGGGTGGGATGAGTGTTGGGGATACATTGCAAGAGATGGGGGAGCATGGGTCTTTTGAATCTCACGAGGTTTACTTGTAGATTGGGGATTCAGATTGCAATTATATAGATGGTTGTATTTGTTTACTAAGAAGAGATATGATGAGGTGTAGCATTGTTGAGGGGCATAAAGTGAGTTTTTAAGAGTATTTGTGGCAATGGAAGTCGGCTGGGCCTTTGATGCCTGACTTTGGAAATGTAGCCATAGTCCCAAGATTGATTTAGGGTTTATTATGGAAGGGAGCTGGACCTTCTTGGTTGAATTGTTCAGAAATGTTTGTATCCTGGTTCAAGGTACAGATGGTAGTTGATTTTTGATGTGGGAGCTGCCTGGGGTATTTACATGTAGTTGTCTCTATATTCTCTGTGTGTGTGTTGATAGACAAGGTTGTCACTTCTCAGTGAATCATTTTCAACTTCATAGATGTTTTCCATTTTCTGATTACTGTATTTTGAAGTTGAGAGGAGGAAGTTATTGAATTGGTATACAAGGTAGTGTGTTAATATTTCCCTGGTTCTTTGGATGATTAGATTGTTTCTAGTCAGGTGCAGAATTCTACAAGGACTATGCTGAATTTTGGGGGTGTGGAAGGAAACACTTAATGAGTTCACCATGGAGAAGCTGGTGAGATTGGATGTGGAGGACAAAATAATGAAGATGAAAATTCAATGGAAGGAGAGATATTGCACCCTGCTTGATTGATACTTGTCAAAGATGAAATCTGGAGTGTAGCCTTCTGACCATAACTGCGTTGATGGAGTTTTTGAAATTGAAACTCATGCATCTATTAAATAAAATGAAGCTTGTGCCTCTTTTGGATGATTGTTGCCCTTGCTTATCATCATGCCCTTGCTTATCATCAAGGTGGACTTGCTGAACATGCTGACGTAGGCTACTTCTCTGGTACTGCTCCATTGGAGAGTTAGTAACTTTTGTGGAAAAAAATTAAATTATTTCCAAGCCTGTAACTTTTCCCTGGGTGATGTTTTTAAGGTTCACTGATCTGTAATCTAACTTTTGGGCAATAAGGGTGCTGTTGATTATTGTTTAAGTTTGTGCAATATGCTATTTTAATCCTAAGTACAAAACTCAGTAAATTTGTGAATAGCTTAAATGTTTATGTTTAAATTACCGTCTGCAGGTTAGATAAGATATGAACTAACATTGAAGAATCTCTTTAGAGATGGTTCCAGAATCAAATGAAGCAGGTATTAATTGTAGCTAATGTGTTATGTGAGGTCTATGATCACAAATGTCAGTTCAGTTCCTTTTCCATCTATTGGCTAACCCCCTTTTTAAACTTGAAAACTAGTTTAACTTCTAGAATTTGGGGTTCTTTGATGTTTTAAATCAATCATGACCATGCTTATATCTTTTAAACATGAATCTATCCTATATTTAAAAGTTTAATTTTGTTTATTATCAGCTATGTGACTGGATTTGTGATCTTGACATGTATATGTTTGGAAGTGAAGGTAGCCACAGAGTTGTCTAGCTGTTGGTAGGATAGGTTAGATTTTGGTCTAAGGTGATGTAATTGTTGTTGGCAAATTAATTCCTCATTTGTTGCTGTTTAGTATTCAATTTAATTGCCAGAAGGTGATGGCCTTATTCTTCTTAGGAAGCACTAGTTTGCCTGTGACCTATCTACTCAACCTGCCGGCTGGTTCAGGGCATTATCTTTTGATATAAATGAAATTTCTTGATGTAGTTAATTGTTTGTTTTTACAAAACACAATGACCGTTGTACCGCTTTGTAGAGCACCACACCTATGAGCTGCCTTATCCTACTACTCAGAGGATACTTTTCTAAACCCGTTATACATCCTATATTTGAAAGTTCAATTTTTTTTATTACCAGATATGTGACTGGACTTGTGATTTTGACATGTATATGTTTGGAATTGAAGGTAGCCACAGAGTTGTCTAGCTGTTGGTAGCATAGGTTAGTTTTTGGCCTAAGGTGATGTAATTGTTGTTGGTAAATTAATTACTCATTTGTTACTGTTTAGTATTCAATAATTTCAATTTAATAGCCAGAAGGTGGTGGCCTTATTCTTCTTAGCAAGCACTAGTTTGCCTGTGAGCTATCTACTCAACCTGCCAGCTGGTTCAGGGCATTCTCTTTTGATATAAATGAAATTTCTTGATGTTGTTTGTTTGTTTTTACAAATCACAATGACCGTTGTACAGCTTTGTAGAGCACCATACCTGTGGGCTGCCTTATCCTACTACTCAGAGGATACTTTTCTAAACGTTTTATACATCTATAGATTCTATACATATAGTCATCATTATCGGAAAAAAATCAATAGTGCTTGAACAATAGAAAAACTAGTGAGATGTCACAAGGCTGGAGAAGTATCTAGGATATTTTTCTCACCTATAATGTGCCAAACTATGCACCTCCAAATATGCCAGTTCATTGCTTCAGGCATTAAGATCTGATATACACACCTGTAAATTGGCTAAATTGACACTAGGGGAACTTGTCTTTATGAGCATGATAATGGCCATAATAACAAAAAGCTGTCAGATTGCTACTTCTAAGGTTTGATTAACATTTAGCCAACATTAGTCAAGTTTCTCACCCATCATATAAATATGCTTGGCATCCACTTAACATCCATACGTCTTACCCAATTGAGGGCTGCTGGTACCGTTATGCCTGAAGACATGCAAAACCTGTGCACAGCCCCTTATCGTTGTGTTCGACACCTTTTTTTTTTTTTGAAAAAGTTAACTATGTGTTTGACTCCTTTACACTCCCTCACTTGCATTTCCTTTGGGATACCATCAATTTACATACAGCAGGAGGCACTCTCCAGAGAAGGGGACAGGGGGTCATTAGGAAATACATTGTCTCTCCTTGGGAACAAAATGTAAATGAAATTCATCACCATGTTTCTTTTTTTTTTTATTTTTCGGTTTTTTGAAGGTTAAAATTGTCATCATGTTCTTTGCTGCAATTAATCTAACACATAGTTGATTAAAGGGCAAAATTTGATAATTTGTATAAGCCTCCATAGCTATACCATCAGAAACGTTGGCAATGTTTCCTCCCAGTCGTTCCATATGTCAAATTGGAATCTCCCAAAACTTTCAACTCAAATTCTACAAAGTTTTAATATAAAGCACGTTTGAATGGATAATGTCAAGCTTGAAATTTTAATAATTAGCCATACATACCTGTGGAAATCTGGAATAAAGTTACTGTAGGGAAGGCGCCCACCTTAGTGAAGTTTGCAAATCATTACCATTTTTTGGGTAGGTGTTAGAAATGGCATTTGAACATGGGACATGGTATTCCCCAAAACTTTAGAATGCACTGTGAACTTGGCTAGCTTCAAGAACCACAGCGAGTATTATATATGAAGCTGAAACCATCTATTAGGTGTTTTGTTGTTTTTTGGCTTTCCTATGCACGCCAAGCATCTAGAAACTTCTAAGCTGACGATGATTACCTATCCCTGAGCTGGATTTCCTTCCTTGGGAAAATGTAAGCATTGATACTTTTCACCCTTGCTACAAGTTTGTGAAATTATTCAATGATTCTGAAGGCAGTGTGAGTTGATCTTCCCTGTTTTTCAATAAACAAATATAGTTTAGCCAGGATCCAATCTCAACCAAGCTTCCACTATTTCATCCTTTTGTAATACTTTCTGTAGGGGAACATCTTGCCATTCTTTCTTCTATCCAGGAAGCAAGGACTGCTGACATTCACAAGGAGGTATTCAGACCATTAATTTTTTTGGGTTAAAGAAGGCAGATATGTGGAAGAGTTCCTTCTGATTTATTATTTGTAGTCATTAAGAAGAATGTAGAAATATGCATTCAAAGACTATATACGTATTGCAAATATTAATGAGTTTTGAAGTAGATAAATGTAGTACTTGAAGAGATATGGGAATGCATTTCCAATGGTTGACTCCTCCCTGATGTCCCCTCTTTGGCCTAGAGGGCAACAACCTTGTTGGCTGGTAGATCCTAGAAAAATGAAGATGCAACACTCACTGTAGCCAAACACTCGAAGGGGGAACTTGCTTGCACCTTGACGGAGTAACATAGTCCTAATGGATTTGCAAAAGCCTTTCATATTGAGCTTTCTCCATACCCAATAAGGCTTCCCTCCTTGAAGGACTCCAAAGTAAGCTAATCCTGCAGTGGTGTTTTAAGTCTTCATCAGCAGTTTACTCCTCCATACTTGGGAGTTGTTGAACTAATTAATTGACATTGTCCTGCTCTCTAGCCAAGTCTTCCATCATGATACTGCTGACTCCTTGATTTGAAATGGAGGTCCGAGTCATTTCATTAAGCACATCATGACTAATTTCCTGCCCATCCCTCTCTTTTTTTTAATGTTAATATGGGACCTAGTGAGAATGGAATTCTAAATATTACGTTGTGGCACCCACCACCCTGACTATCTCTGCTTAGAACCTGTTCTCAAGCACATCACTACTTGTACTCACTCCTTTGAAGATTTTACTGTTCCTCTCCTGCGACAGTCTATAAGAGTTTCTATTGAGACATTTCCGAGAGTTGGTGGGCTCTCTAA